CCGCCGTGGGGCTGGGGGGGGGGACCCCGGCCGTGGGTCCCGCGGCTCCATCCCTCTCTGCCCCCATAGAGGTGCTGAGCGACGAGGACAAGCTCAAGATGAGCAAGATCAAGAAGAAGATGAGGAGGAAGGTGCGAGGAGGGGACGCGGGATGGGGGGGGGTGCTGGGGGTCCCGTTGGGTCCTTGAGCGTGGGCTCGGTCCCTTCCAGGCGAAGAACAAGCAGAAGCAAGAAGCCAAAGCCCCCAGGGCGAAGGAGGCCAAGAAGAAGAGCAAGGTGAGCGCATGGGGATGTGTGGGGCAGGGAGACGGAAGGGGTGGGTGCATCCCCGTGCATCCCCTCCTCTCCGCCCCCCCCCCAACTCCTCCTTTAGGCCAAGGAGAAGAAGGGCAAAGCGGAGAAGGGCAAAGACAAAGCCCGAGCCAAGGAGAGGAAGGGCAAAGGCGCTCGCAGGGCGGACAAGGGGCTGGCGGCGCAGCGGCGCCTGGAGCAGCGGCGGCGGCAGCAGCAGCTCCTGGAGGAGATGAAGAAGCCGACGGAGGACATGTGCCTGGGGGACCACCAGGTACCTGCGATGGGGCCGGGGGGGGTCACCGGTGCTGCCGTCGCGCTGCCCCGGTGCCGCTGACGCCAAGCACCGGTGTCCGTCCCGCAGCCGCTGCCGGCGCTGTCGCGCATCCCGGGGCTGGTGCTGCCGGGCGCTGCCTTCTCGCGGTGCCTGGCGGTGGTGGAGTTCCTGCAGAGCTACGGGCGCGTGCTGGGGCTGGAGCCCGGCCGGGACGTGCCGAGCCTGAGCGCGCTGCAGGAGGGGCTGCTGGGGCTGGGCGACAGCGCGGGCCGGCTGCAGGACCTGCTCGTGAGGCTGCTGCGCGCCGCGCTCGGCGACCCCGGCCTGCCCCACTACTGCCAGGTGGGGAGATGGGGGCCCCATCCCTGCCCCATCCCTGCCCCATCCCATCCCCATCCCTGCCCCACTACTGCCAGGTGGGGAGATGGGGGCCCCATCCCCGTCCCATCCCCATCCCATCCCTGCCCCATCCCATCCCATCCCCATCCCTGCCCCATCCCCGTCCCATCCCCATCCCATCCCTGCCCCACTACTGCCAGGTGGGGAGATGGGGACCCCATCCCCGTCCCATAACATCCCCATCCCATCCCTGCCCCATCCCATCCCTGCCCCATCCCATCCCTGCCCCACTACTGCCAGGTGGGGAGATGGGGGCCCCATCCCTGCCCCATCCCCATCCCATCCCCGCCCCATCCCATCCCTGCCCCATCTCCATCCCCATCCCATCCCTGCCCCACTACTGCCAGGTGGGGAGATGGGGGCTCCATCCCATCCCCATCCCATCCCCATTTCATCCCTGCCCCATCCCATCCCATCCCCATCCCATCCCTGCCCCATCCCCATCCCATCCCTGCCCTCTTCCCATCCCATCCCATCCCTGCCCCACTACTGCCAGGTGAGGGAGATGTGGGCCCCATCTCTTCCCATCCCTGCCCTCATCCCATCCCATCCCATCCCCATCCCATCCCATCCCATCCCATCCCTGCCCCAGTACTGCCAGGTGAGGGGAGATGTGGTCCTGATCCCATCCCATCCCCATCCCACCCCTGCCCTGATCCCATCCCTGCTCCTTTACTGCCAGGTGAGGGCAGACGTGGTCCCATCCCAGCGCCATTCCCTGCCCCATCCTGAACCCGGTCCCCATTTCCTGCCTTAGTCCCGGCCCTGATCCCGGCTACAAGTCCTGCCCCAGCCCCACTTCCTGCTCGCATTCCAGCCCCAGCCCTAATCCGTGCCCCATTCCCTGCCCCATTCCTGACCCCGATCCTGCCCCTAATCCCTTTCTTGGCCCCAGCCCCATGTCCCAGCCCTGACCCCAATCCCGGCCCTAATCCTGACCCCGTTTCCAACCCCTGCTCCCTCGCCCCATTCCCGTCCCTTGGGGTGCTGGGACGGGGCCTGAGCCCTCCCTTTGCTGCTCCCAGTCCCTGAAGATCCTGGGGGAGAAGGTGGCCGAGATCAGCCTGAGCCGCGAGACCGTGTCTGAGGTCCTGCGCTGCTTCCTGACGGCGCGCGGGGCGGGCGAGGAGCTCTGCGGGGGGCTCAGGACCAAACCCTTCCAGGCGCTGCCCCCGGCCACCCAAGCCTCCATCCTGGCCTTCCTGGTGGACGAGCTCAACGGCAGCGCCCTCATCATCAGGTGGGTGTCAATGGGGCAGAGCTGAGCCCCGGCCCCATGGCCCCGGCCCCGTGGCCCCATCGCCGTCTCCCCCTGCAGTGAGATCGACAAGAGCCTGGAGAGCATGGCCGGCTACAGGAAGAACAAGTGGATCATCGAGGGGCGGCTGCGCAGGTGGGTGCTGCGCGGTGCCCCATGGGTGCCGTGGGGCAGCTGCCTATGCCCAGTGGATGGAGCACATCCTGCTGTATGTGCCCCATGGATGCCGTGGGTCCTGCTGTGTGTGCTCCATTGATGGAGCAGGTCCTGCTGTGTGTGCCCCATGGATGCCATGGGGCCTGCTGTGTGTGCTCCATTGATGGAGCAGGTCCTGCTGTGTGTGCCCCATTGATGGAGCAGGTCCTGCTGTGTGTGCCCCATTGATGGAGCAGGTCCTGCTGTATGTGCCCCATTGATGCAGTGGGTCCTGGTGTGTGTGCCCCATTGATGGAGTGGGGCCTGCTGTGTGTGCTCCATTGATAGAGCACGTCCTGCTGTGTGTGCCCCTTTGATGGATTGAGGCCTGCTGCTTGTGCCCCATTGACAAACGGCATCCTGCTGCGAGTGCCCCATTGATGCAGTGGGTCCTGCTGATTGTGCCCCATTGATGGAGCAGGTCCTGCTGTGCGTGCCCCATTGATGCAGTGGGTACTGCTGCATGTGCCCCATTGACACAGGGGTCCTGCTTGTGGCCTCTGCTCCTTCCCCTCCATGTCCTAGGGCTGGGGGGCTCGGGATGACTGTGGTGGAGCCAGGTGCCCAGTGGGGCAATGGAGCAGGCAATGGGGCAGGCAGTGGGGCAGGCAGCAGGATGGGCAGTGAGGCAATGGAGCAGGCAATGGGATGGGCAATGGGGTGGGCAATGGGGCAATGGAGCAGGCAGTGGGGCAGGCAATGGGATGGGCAATGGGGCTGTGGAGCAGGCAATGGGGCAGGCAGTGAACCCCGTGCTGTGTGGGGCAGGCAGTGGGGCAGGCAGTGAGCCCCGTGCTGTGTGGGGCAGACAATGGGGCAGGCAGTGGGGCGGGCAGTGAGCCCCGTGCTGTGTGGGGCAGACAATGGGGCAGGCAGTGGGGCGGGCAGTGAGCCCCGTGCTGTGTGGGGCAGGCAGTGGGGCGGGCAGTGGGGCAGGCAGTGAGCCCCGTGCTGTGTGGGGCGGGCAATGGGGCGGGCAGTGAGCCCCGTGCTGTGTGGGGCGGGCAATGGGGCGGGCAGTGGGGCAGGCAGTGAGCCCCGTGCTGTGTGGGGCAGGCAGTGGGGCGGGCAGTGAGCCCCGTGCTGTGTGGGGCAGGCGGTGGGGCGGGCAGTGAGCCCCGTGCTGTGTGGGGCGGGCAGTGAGCCCCGTGCTGTGTGGGGCAGGCAATGGGGCGGGCAGTGAGCCCCGTGCTGTGTGGGGCAGGCTCAAGGTGGCCCTGGCCAAGAGGACCGGGCGGCCCGAGTCGGAGCTCCCGGGGCTGGAGACCGGGCGGCGGCGGCGGAGCTCCCGCCTCAGCGAGGACCCGGCCCTGGACCTGGACGAGGAGGAGGAGGAGGAGAAGCGGGGCCGCCGCTCCCGCAGGGAGGACGAGGTGGGTGCCCCGTGGGGCGCAGCCGTGGGGCGCAGCCGTGGGGCGGGGGCTCCATCCCCATCGCTGCTCCCTCACTGCCCCCATCCTGCCCCCAGCTCGACACGTCCGGGTCCAGCATCCCCGAGCTCGAGCGGCAGATCGAGAAGCTGGCCAAGGTGAGCGGGCGATGGGGTGGGGGGTCCAGCCCCACCGCGGGGCTCTATGGGGCTCTATGGGGCCCGGCCCCACGCTGCGCTCTCCCCATAGAGGCAAATGTTCTTCCGCAAGAAGCTGCTCCATTCCTCGCAGACGCTGCGAGCGGCATCGCTGGGGCAGGACCGGTACCGGCGGCGCTACTGGGTCCTGCCCCACTTGGGCGGCATCTTCGTGGAGGGCGCGGAGGGTGAGTGTGGGGCAGGGATGGAGGGGACCCCCCCACACACCCCACACACACCCCACACACAGGGGAATGGCTCCCAACGGCCCCATCGCCTCCCTGCAGCGGCAGAGCCGGAGCCCCCGGAGGACGAGGAGGAGAAGATGCCCCCGGTGAAGCCGGAGCCGGTACCGGTGCCCGTAGCCACCCGGGTTCCCCCCCCGGCATCGCGGTCCCGGGGCCGGCCCCGCAAGAGCAAGGAGGAGCTGCCCCAGCACTGCGGGCCCCGGCCCCCGCCGCCCCTGCTCAATGGGGCGCTGGAGGAGCCGCTGGCCGTGGGGCAGAGCCAGCACGACCTCAGTCAATCCGCGTTCCTGTCCTGGCTCAGCCAGACCCAGGCCTCCCTGCTCAAGGGCTCCGTGCTCACCCCCGACAGCAGCCCCGGGAAGGGGGACCCGGGGCTCCCGGTGCCCGAGGCCCCATCGGACCCCACCGAGGAGGAGGAGGAGGAGGAGGAGGAGGAGGAGGACAAGCGGGGGCCCTGGTTCCCTGCCCGGACCCGCACCCCCGGTGAAGACCGAGCCCCCCTCGCTGCCTCCTCCAGGGCTCAGCCCAAGGGCTCGGCCCGGCAGGTGCGTGTGGGGCGGGGGGGGGGGGGAGCAGGATGGGGCCCCCTGGCGGGCACTGGGGTGCTGAGACCGGGAACACCGCAGGGCTCTGGGGATGAGCAGTGGGGCCGCCCCCATCCGCCCCAGTTCCATCCCCTTCTGCCCCCCCTTCATCCCCATCTGCCCCCCCTCCATCCCCTTCTGCCCCCTCCATCCCCTTCTGCCCCCCTTCATCCCCTTTTGTCCATCCCCATCTGCCCCCCACCTGACCCTCTCCATCCCCTTCTTCTCCTCCTCCATCCCCTATCCGCCCCCCCCTTCCCCCATCCCCTTTTCCCCATCCCCTTTTCTCCCCCTCCCCCCTTTTCTCCCCCTCCATCCCTTTTTCTCCCCCTCCCCCCTTTTCCCTCCCCCCTTTTCTCCCCCTCCATCCCCTTTTCCCCCTCCATCCCCTTTTCTCCCCCTCCCCCCTTTTCTCCCCCTCCATCCCCTTTTCTCCCCCTCCATCCCCTTTTCTCCCCCTCCATCCCCTTTTCTCCCCCTCCATCCCCTTTTCTCCCCCTCCATCCCCTTTTCTCCCCCTCCATCCCCACCTGCCCCCCTCCATCCCCACCTGCCCCCCCCATCCCCACCTGCCCCCCTCCATCCCCTTTTCTCCCCCTCCATCCCCTTTTCTCCCCCTCCATCCCCTTTTCTCCCCCTCCATCCCCACCTGCCCCCCTCCATCCCCACCTGCCCCCCCATCCCCACCTGACCCCCTCCATCCCCTTCTACCCCCTCTCCATCCCCTATTCCCCCCCTCCATTCCCTTTTCCCCCATCCATCCCCTTCTGCCCCCCATCCATACCCTTCTGCCCCCTTCCATCCCCACCTGCCCCCTCCCTCCCCACCTGCCCCCCTCCATCCCCACCTGCCCCCCCATCCCCTTTTCTCCATCCCCACCTGCCCCCCTCCCTCCCCACCTGCCCCCCCCATCCCCACCTGCCCCCCCCATCCCCACCTGCCCCCCCCCATCCCCACCTGCCCCCCCCATCCCCACCTGCCCCCCTCCATCCCCACCTGACCCCCTTCATCCCCACCTGACCCCCTCCATCCCCACCTGACCCCCTCCATCCCCTTTTCTCCCCCTCCATCCCCACCTGACCCCCTCCCTCCCCACCAGCTCAACGGCCTCCCCACCGACGACCCCACGGCTCCTTTGCTCGCTTCCACTCCGGTCCCCGCCGGCACCCGGACCCACGGCGCCTGCCCCAGGAGCCGGGGCAGCCTGGACCCCCCGGGGGGGCAGCCCAAGCGCCGGGGGCGGCCCCCGACCAAGTTCTTCAAGCAGATGGAGCAGAAGTTGCTGTCGCAGCAGACGGAGCAGCCGGTGCCCCCCGGTGAGCGCTGGGCTCCCAATGGGGCGGCACTGAGTGATGCTGAGCGGTGCTGAGCAGTGCTGAGTGATGCTGAGCGCTGCTGAGCGCTGCTGAGTGATGCTGAGCGATGCTGAGCGCTGCTGAGCGCTGCTGAGCGGTGCTGAGCGATGCTGAGTGATGCTGAGCGGTGCTGAGTGATGCTGAGCGATGCTGAGCGATGCTGAGCGATGCTGAGCGATGCTGAGTGATGCTGAGCGGTGCTGAGTGATGCTGAGCGGTGCTGAGCGATGCTGAGCGATGCTGAGTGATGCTGAGCGATGCTGAGCGATGCTGAGCGATGCTGAGCGATGCTGAGCGATGCTGAGCGGTGCTGAGCGATGCTGAGCGATGCTGAGCGGTGCTGAGCGATGCTGAGCGATGCTGAGCGCTGCTGAGCGATGCTGAGCGATGCTGAGCGGTGCTGAGCGGTGCTGAGCGGTGCTGAGCGATGCTGAGCGGTGCTGAGCGGTGCTGAGCGGTGCTGAGTGATGCTGAGCGGTGCTGAGCGATGCTGAGTGATGCTGAGCGATGCTGAGCGATGCTGAGCGGTGCTGAGCGGTGCTGAGCGGTGCTGAGCGATGCTGAGTGATGCTGAGCGGTGCTGAGCGATGCTGAGCGATGCTGAGCGATGCTGAGCGATGCTGAGTGATGCTGAGCGGTGCTGAGCGATGCTGAGCGGTGCTGAGCGCTGCTGTGCCCCCCCCAGAGATGCAGAGCGGGTGGTGGTGGCTGCAGCACCCCGAGGAGCTGGAGGCCGTGGCGCGGGCGCTGCACCCGAGGGGCATCCGGGAGAAGGCGCTGCACAAGCACCTCACCAAGCACAAGGAGTTCCTGCGGGAGGTCTGCCTGCGCGCCAGCACCGGTACTGCCCGGGGGGTGCCTGCGCCCCGCGTCCCCCCCGGCCCCGCATCCCTTCCCGTGTGACCCCATCCCCCCCCGGCCCCACATCCCTTCCCGTGCGACCCCATCCCCCCCCAGCCCCACATCCCTTCCCGTGCGACCCCATCCCCTCCTGTGCGACCCACATCCCTTCCTGTGCGACCCCCATCCCCTCCCGTGCGACCCCCATCCCCTCCTCTGTGACCCCCATCCCCTTCTGTGCGACCCCATCCCCTCCTGTGCGACCCCCATCCCCTCCTGTGCGACCCCCATCCCCTCCTGTGCGACCCCCATCCCCTCCTCTGTGACCCCCATCCCCTCCTGTGGGACCCCCATCCCCTCCTGTGTGACCCCCATCCCCCCCGGCCCCACATCCCCTCCTGTGTGACCCCCATCCCCTCCTGTGCGACCCCCATCCCCTCCTGTGCGACCCCCATCCCCTCCTGTGTGACCCCCATCCCCTCCTGTGTGACCCCCATCCCCTCCTGTGTGACCCCCATCCCCTCCCCGGCCCCACATCCCCTCCTGTGCGACCCCCATCCCCTCCTGTGCGACCCCATCCCCTCCTGTGTGACCCACATCCCCTCCTGTGTGACCCACATCCCCTTCTATGCATCCCCCATCCCCTCCTGTGTGACCCCCATCCCCTCCTCTGTGACCCCCATCCCCTCCTGTGTGACCCCCATCCCCTTATACGCATTCCCCAATCCCCTTCTACGCGTCCCCCATCCCCTTCTATATGTTCCCCATCCTCTTCTATGAGTTCCCCATCCCCTTCTATGTGACCCCCATCCCCTTCTCTGCATCCCCCATCCCCTTCTATGCATTCCCCAATCCCCTTCTACACGTCCCCTATCCTCTCCAATGCATTCCCCATCTCTATGTGGCCCCCATCTCCTTCTATGTATTCCCCATCCTCTCATATGCATCCCCCATCCCGTTCTATGTGTCCCCCATCCCCTTCTATGCATCCATCCCCTTCTATGCGTCCTCCATCTCCTTCTGTGCATGCCCCATCCTCTCATATGCGCCCCCCATCCCCTTCTATGCATCCATCCCCTTCTATGCGTCCTCCATCTCCGTCTATGCGTTCCCCATCCCTTCCTGTGGGCCCCATCCCCTTCTCTGCGTTCTCCCCCTCCAGACCCCATCTTCCACCCGCGCCCCGAGGCGGCCGGAGCCGCCGTGTCTCAGGAAGCCCTGGCCCGGTGGTCGGTGATGGACCGAGCCTACGAGACCGACCTGGCTGTGCTGCAGTGGGTGGAGGAGCTGGAGCAGCGCGTGCTGATGGCCGACCTGCAGATCCGGGTGGGTCCTGGGGCGCCGCGGTGCCGTGCCCGCATCCCGGTGCCCGCATCCCTGTACCCGCATCGCGGTACCCGCATCCCTGTACCCGTATCCCGGTACCCACATCCCGGTACCCGCATCCCGGTACCCGCATCCCTGTACCCACATCCCGGTACCCACATCGCGGTACCCGCATCCCTGTACCTGCATCCCGGTACCCGCATCCCTGTACCCGCATCCCTGTACCCGCATCCCGGTACCCGCATCCCGGTACCCGCATCCCTGTACCCGCATCCCTGTACCCGCATCCCGGTACCCACATCCCGGTACCCGTATCGCGGTACCCGCATCCCTGTACCTGCATTGCGGTACTTGCATCCCTGTACCCGTATCCCGGTACCCGCATCCGTGTACCCGCATCCTGGTACCCCATCCCTGTACCTGCATCCCTGTACCCGCATCCCTGTACCCGCATCCCTGTACCCGCATCCCTGTACCCGCAACCCGGTACCCGCATCCCTGTACCCGCATCCCTGTACCCGCATCGCGGTACCCGCATCCCAGCACCCGCATCCCTGCACCCTCATCCCTGCACCCATCCTGACCCCGCTCCGCGATCCCATAGGGCTGGACGTGCCCCAGCCCGGACTCCACGCGCGAGGACCTGCGGTACTGCGAGCACAAGGTGGAGCCCTTGGAGGACATCACGGTGCGGAGCCGGCGGGACGGGCTGCCGCTGCGCCGGGAGCGCACCAACCCGCTGGACCTGGCCGTGCTGCGCCTGGCGGCGCTGGAGCAGAACGTGGAGCGGCGCTACCTCAAGGAGCCCCTGTGGCCCCTGCACGAGGTCGTGGTGGAGAAAGCGGTGCTGAGCGGCGCCGAGGAGCTGAGCCTGGGCCCCACCGAGATGTGAGCCCCCCCTCCTCCTGCCGCGGGGTGCGCAGGGATCCCCCCCATCGGTCCCCGTTGATCCCCGCTGCTCCCATCGCAGAGCCTACGAGATCACGCCGCGCGTGCGGACGTGGCGGCAGACGCTGGAGCGGTGCCGCAGCGCGGCCCAGGTCTCCCTCTGCATCCACCAGCTCGAGAAGTCCATTGCCTGGGAGAAGTCGGTCAACAGAGTGGTGAGGAGCGGGGCGCTGGGGATGGACCCGGGTGGGTGGTGGTGGTGGGGCCGGGCTTGAGCCGCGCTCCCCGCAGACCTGCCTCGTGTGCCGGCGCGGCGACGACGACGAGCACTTGCTGCTGTGCGACGGCTGCGACCGCGGCTGCCACCTCTACTGCCACCGGCCCAAGATGAGCGAGGTGCCCGAGGGAGACTGGTTCTGCTCCGTCTGCGTCGCGCGGGTACGCCGTGGGGCAGCCCCTTGTGCGCCCGCCTGCGGTGGTGACTTCCCGTTCCCATCCCATCCCATTGCATTCCATCCTATTCCGTACCCTTCCACTCCATCCCCTTCTATCCCTTCTATTCCATCCCCTTGCATTCCATTCCATCCCCTTCTATCCTATCCCTTCCATTCCATCTCATCCCTTCCATCTCCTCCCATCCCCTTCTATTCCATCCCTTCCTTTCCATCCCTGCCATTCCACCCCTTCCATCCCATCCCCTCCCATTCCATCCCGTTCCATCCATCCCATCCCCTTCCATTCCATCCCTTCCTTTCTATCCTTTCCTTCCTTTCCATTCCATCCCTTTCCAACTAATTCCATTCCATCCCCTTCCATTCCATCCCCTTCCCTTCCATCCCCTTCCCTTCCATCCCCTTCCATTTCATCCCGTTCAATTTCATCTCCTTCTATCCTATCCCTTCTATCCCATCCCATCCCCTTCTATTCCATCCCTTCCTTTCCATCCCTTCCATTCCAACCCCTCCCATCCCCTTCCCTTCCATCCCCTTCCCTTCCATTTCCTTCTATCCTATCCCTTCTATCCCATCCCATCCCCTTCTTTTCCATCCCTTCCATTCCATCCCATCCCCTTCCCTTCCATCCCCTTCCATTCCATCCCTTCCTTTCCATCCTTTCCATTCCATCCCCTTCCAACCCATTCCCTCCTATCCCATCCCATCCCTTTCCTCCCCTCCCATCCCATCCCCTTCCCATCCCATCCCCTTCCCATCCCATCCCCTTCCCATCCCATCCCTTCCATCCCATCCCCTCCCATTCCGTCCCTTCCATCCCATCCCATCCCTTCCATCCCATCCCTCGCCTCCCCTCCGCTCTCACCCTCTCCCATCCCCGCAGGCAGGGCAGTTCCAGGACCCCATCTCCCCTCGGCGAGGCAAGAAGCGGAAACGGGGCCGCGTCCTCGGGGGGATCCTGGCCGAGGAGGACGAGGAGGGGAGCCCCCGGCGCCGGCGCCGCCGCGAGGGGCTGCCCGCGCCCCGATGCCCCGGTGAGGGGCTGTCCCCTGCCAAGCGCAGGGGGGTGACGCTGCGGAGCCAACCCAGCGACCTGACCTGCTGCGAGTGAGTGGGGCCAAGGAAAAGGGGGGGGAATGGGGGGGTCCGTGCCCAGGGAGCTCCCCCCTGAGCCCGCTGCTCCCTCAGGATCATCCTGATGGAGATGGAGGCGCACGAGGACGCTTGGCCCTTCCTGGAGCCCGTCAACCCCCGCCTGGTCCCCGGCTACCGCAGGATCATCAAGAACCCCATGGACTTGGGCACCATGCGCACGCGGCTGCTGCGGGGAGGGTGAGCGGTGGGGCCCGACGGGGATGGGGGTCCTGAGCGGGGTGCCGATGGGGATGGGGGTCCCGATGGGGGTCCTGATGGGGATGGGGGTGCTGAGGGGATGGGGGGGCTGACGGGATGGGGTTCCAATAGGGATGGGGGTGCCAATGGGGATGGGGGTCCTGAGGGGGATGGGGGTGCCGAGGGGGATGGGGGGCCCGAGGGGGATGGGGGTGCTGAGGGGATGGGGGTGCCGATGGGGATGGGGGTCAGGATGGGGGTCCTGATGGGGATGGGAGTGCTGATGGGAATGGGGGTCCTGAGGGGGATGGGGGTCAGGCTGGGGGTCCTGAGGGGGATGGGGGGCCTGATGGGGATGGGGATGCTGAGGGGGATGGGGGTCAGGATGGGGGTCAGGATGGGGGTCCTGATGGGGATGGGGGTCCTGATGGGGATGGGAGTTCTGATGGGATGGGGGTGCCGATGGGGATGGGGGTCAGAATGGGGGTCCTGATGGGGATGGGGGTGCCGATGGGGATGGGGATGCTGAGGGGGATGAGGGTCAGGATGGGGGTCCTGAGGGGGATGGGGGGCCCGATGGGGATGGGGATGCTGAGGGGGATGGGGGTCAGGCTGGGGGTCCTGAGGGGGATAAAGGGGTACCCACTGGGGATGGGGATTCACTGTAATGGGGATCACACTGGTGTTACTGGGGTCGTGGTGGGGATGGGGGGTACCCACTGCGGATTGGGGTCCTGAGGGAGGGATAAGCGGGTACCCACTGGGAATGGGGATCACACTGGGGATATGGGGGTCCCCATTGGGGATTGGGGTCCTGAGGGGGGATAAGGGGGTACCCACTGGGAATGGGGATCACACTGGGGATATAGGGGTCCCCATTGGGGATTGGGGTCCTGAGGGGGGATAAGGGGGTACCCACTGGGAATGGGGATCACACTGGGGGATATGGGGGATCCCCACTGGGGATTGGGGTCCTGAGGGGGGATAAGGGGGTACCCACTGGGAATGGGGATCACACTGGGGATATGGGGGTCCCCATTGGGGATTGGGGGTCCTGTGGGCATGGGGGCTCCCCTCTGCAGTGCCCTGCACTGATTGGAGGTGGTCCCAGTCCCGCTGCGGATGGGAAAGAGCTCCCCATTGGGGATTGGGGTCTTGGTGGTGGTGGGAAGGGGATCCCGATCCCCATTGGCTCTCTCCCATTGCTCCCCCTCCCCACTGGCTCTCCCCCATTCCCCCCATTGGCTCTCCCCCATTTTCCCCATCCCCACTGGCTCTCCCCCATTCCCCCCATCCCCATTGGCTCTCTGCCATTCCCCCCACCCCATTGGCTCTCCCCCATTCCCCCCCTCCCCATTGGCTCTCCCCTTTGCCTCTCCCCTATTCCCCCTCCCCATTGGCTCTCCCCCATTCCCCCCATCCCCATTGGCTCTCCCCCATTCCCCCCATCCCCATTGGCTCTCCCCATCGGCTCTCCCCAATTCCCCCTCCCCACTGGCTCTCCCCCATTCCCCCACCCCATTGGCTCTCCGCCATTCCTCCTCCCCATTGGCTCTCCCCATTGGCTCTCCCCCATTCCCCCCATCCCCATTGGCTCTCCCCATTGCCTTTCCCCTATTCCCCCTCCCCATTGGCTCTCCCCCATTCCCCCCATTGGCTCTCCCCCATTCCCCCTCCCCATTGGCTCCCGTTGCCCCCCAGCTACTCCAGCTCTGCTCAGTTCGCCGCCGATGCTCTGCTCGTCTTCGACAACTGCCGGACCTTCAACGAGGACGAGTCCGCGGTGGGGCGGGCGGGGCGGAGCCTGCGCCGCTTCTTCGAGACCCGGTGGGCGGAGCTTTATCAGGGAAAACACGTGACTCACCCGTGACGTGCACGGGGGGGGGACCCCCCCATCCCACCCCACATCCCCCCCCCCATAAGAACTGACTCCTCTGGAGCTGATCTCGCTGCCTGCTGATCCCTTGCGGGGCCCCCCCTTTCCCCCCCCCCCCCCCAACAAGCACCAACTCACACACTATATAAGCCAAAAACACAAAAAAAAAGTGGTTTTTTTTTTTCCCCTTTATTTTAAACTATTATTTTCTAATTAAGAACCGAAATAACACCCCCCCCTTGCCCCCCCCTCCCCGCTGGGACTATTTAATGATAGCAATAGTTGTAGTGAATGTGTCCGAGCGCTCCCGCGCCGTCTCCATGCATTAACGGCCAGTAAAGTGGACTTAACCCCCCCCCAACCCGTGCAGACACTTTATGGGGACTGGGGGGGCCCCCCCCACCCCAACACCCCCCCCCCCCCCGAGGCCAGGGACCAAACTGGGGAGGGCGGGGGGGGGGGCGGCCCCGCACCCCCTTTCCCTGCCTCCACGTCTCAGGAAGACCCCGGCCCCCCCCCCCCCCAATTCCCAGCGTGGGGACCCCCCCCCCCCTTTTCCATCCCTCAGGGACGCTACTGCAGCCCCCCCCCCCCAATCTGGACTTGAAGCCTCACGCGGGTGTTTGCCCCCCCCCCCAAGCAATGGGGATGGGGGGGTTGCACTGGGGAAGGGGGGGGCCTAAAGTGGGGACACCCCCCCCTCTCCCCTCTTTTTGCCCCCCAGGACCCCCTTAATCCAGGGGGTGGCCAGGATATTACGGGTACTCTGGGGGTGCAGCGGGGGCCACGGTGGGGGTTTGTGTGTGTGTCGTGTGTGTCCCCCCCCCCCCCAAACCCGGCCCTATAGAGCACTGAAAACAACTCACCTACCTGGGCAAGGGGGGGTCCGGCCTCACCCTGTGCCCCCCCCCTCCAAAGTAGCCTTTTTTTCTCTCGGAGAACCTCAAAACCCGTGGATTTTGTGGTGTTTTCCTCGCGTTGGAGCAGAGCCGCAGGCGCCGGAACCCCCCCTTTTGTAGCCCCCGAGAACTTCAAGTTTTCTCTCCCCATCTGCGCTGTTCTGTGCGTTTTTAGCCTCAAAAAAAAACAAAAAACCCCCAGCACCCCTTTGGGGTGCGTTTGGGGCCTTTTTTTGGGCGGGTTTCCCCCTTTTTTTTTGTCTTTTCTCACGCGTTCTTGGGGTTTTTTTTTGGGGTTCTTTGCGCCGTTTCCCGCAATCTCAGCATCGTTCTCGTGTGTTCGTTCCGTTGAAGTTTCCCCCTTCCTGGGGTCCAATGGGGGGGGGGGGGGGGGGGGGTGTGTGTGTGTGTGTGTTCCCCTCCCCCCTTCAACACCCCCCCCCTCCCCCCCCCCCGTTTTCTATACGCAGCCGTGTCGTTTCCGTGACTTTTTTGATAAATGTACAGGTTTTTGGTGAATTTCACTCGATTTCTTTCTATATTTTTAGGACCAAGCTCGTTTTTAAGCATTAAGGTTGTGAGGAGGAGGATGGGGAACACCTCCCCCCCCCCCTTTATCCCCATAACCCCCCCCCCCACGCTGCCTGTCGATGTCCCCCCCCCCCTCCATGCGCTGTCGGAGAATAAAACCAACTCACGTTTGATAGACACACACTGGTAGGACCCATTTGGGGGGGGGGGGGGCAGGGGGAGGGTTTGACCCCCCCTTACCAAAAAACACCCAAATTTGGGGGTTTGTGGCTTTTTTTTTTGCTGTTTTATTTAAAAACAAAAAGAAAAAACAACCTCAAGGGGAGGGTTGGGGGGGGGGGCTCTTTTTTTGGGGGGGGGGGGGCGCGGAAGCGGGGGGGGGGGGGGGGATTTTGGGAATACAAAACTAGAAACCTCTCGAGATCCTTAAAAAAAAGCAACTTAAAAACCTGTACAAAATGCGCTACGTATAAATTAAAGGGGGGGGGCAGCAAAAGGGGGGGGCCTCGGCTTTGTTGCTGCCACTCTGGCTCCCCCCCCCCATTATTGGCTGTGGGACCCCCCAAAACTCAGCCCCCCCCCCCCCTTCATTCCCAATGGCAGCAGGTTGGGGGCTCAGCACCCCCTGGGGGGGGGGGGGGGCTCCCTCTTTGGTTCCTTCCATGGGGGGGCCCCCCCCAACCAAAGGGGCTGCACAAGGGGGGGGCCCGGCAGTAGCAGCAATGGGAGAGGTGGGTGATGGCTGGAAACCGGGGGGGGGGGCGTCACCATGGGTTATGGGGGGGGTCTTCCAGACACCCCCCCATATCCTGGGCTGAGCGCCGAGCTGTGGGGTGAGGTAGATGTGTGGCGGGGGGGTCCCGATGCCCCGGGGGGGGGCAATAAGGACTCCAATGGGGGGGGGGGGGGGGGGCTGGAAGAACCATGAGGCCCATAGGCAGAGCTTGGGGGGGGGGGCACAGCCGGCCCCAGAGCTGGAAGTAAATGGGGAAGTGGGGGGGGGGACACACAGACGGACCCACGGTGTGGGGGGGGGGTCGCAAAGCCGAAGGGGGGGGGGTGTGGGGCAGCTCATCCCCCCCCCCAATGTGACTCCCTCTATCTTTGGTTGCAAGAGCCGCCCCCAAGGGGCCCCCCCCCTTGATTGTCACTGCGGGGGGGGGAAGGGGAAGGGGGGGGGGCACCCCCGGGTGCGGGGACGTTAAAGTGCCTGGTGGCCCCTGGGGGTGCCCATTGCCCATGGGAACGGGGGGGGGGGGGGGGGGTATTGCACTTATCCTGCCCCCCCCGGGCCGGGGGCCGCATGCAGAGCCCCGGCCCGCCCCCCCCCCGGGGCAGGAATGGCTGCGGTGGGGGGGGGGGGGGGGGTAAAAGGGTTAAAGGGGGGGGGGGGGGCAGCACCCCCGGCCCTGCGGGGGGGCTGGTGCCCAGAGACCGGACCCCACGGTGGGGGGTGGGGGGGGGATTTGCCATCACCCCCCCCCCCCACCCCGGTCCCCAAACCGGGGGCACCGGTTGGACCAGGCAGCAGAAGGCACGGGGGTGGGGGGGGGGGGGGAGCCATGGAAGCACAATGTGGGGGGTGGGGGGGGGGGGAGCGGCCGGTGACCCCCACCCCCCACCGGGTCTGATTTTGCTTTTTTTTTTTGTTCTTTTTAGTTTTTTTTTTTGTAGAAAATGCGGGAGGGAAAAAAGCCCCCCCAGGGCGGGGGGGG